CACATTGTTATGCAACCATCACCACCATCCATCTTCATAACTTTTCTCATCTTCCCAACCTAAAACTCTGCTCATTAAATAACTCACCATTATAATTACTTTTTATTATGTCTATCTCCCACACTAAAAAGAAAAATGATTGCTTTATTAATATTTGCGTTTTATTATTATATATTTTGATCCCAAGTAGTGAACATACTGCCTGATTAACAGAATATACCCATCAAATGTTTGCTGAATTGAAATGTTATGATCAAAATCACATATCAGATCATTACATCAACAAGTTATATCAGATTATGTCAACTCTCCAGTTCTAAGATAACACTTACACACACACACACACACACACACACACACACACACACGCACACCACACATCCTTTTAATGATATTCTTTTTAAAAAACAAAAACAAATCAAATCAAAACTATGCCTTCAGTACTTTCTCATTTTATAAAGTATGAATTTCAAATTTTGATCATGTCGTTCAGGGTTCTCTAAAATCTGATCCGATCAGTCTCTCCACCCTCCACTTCTACATATTTTCACAACTTGATTCTTACTAACACATTATACATTATTATAGAAGCAACCAATTTCAGGCTCTCTTTATTATACTGGCTGCTCAGCCTGAAATGTTTTCTATCATTTTTGAAGCTAAATCTTAGTCTTTCTTCATAGGTGAGGCTTCTATAATCAGAATAAATACCCTTCTCTTCTCTGCTCTTCTGGACTTCTAATTTTGCACCAAATTACATTTTACCAATATGTTTATATGTGCATTGCTATCACTTGAGGGCAAATTACATGAAAATTTCCATAATTTTTAACTTATTTTATTTTTTCCTATTCCTGATTGTCAGAGACTCCTCGGATTTTCTGCATATGGTAGTTGCTCAATAATTATATTTTGAAAGAAGAAACATCTTACTAATTTGATGTATAAGACCAATGCATTGGTGTTTATTGAGCATGCTTAAACTTATTCAAACTCTCTATTAATGAAATAGTTAAGGAATAATGTGAAAACACTGGTTACCACAAACTCTATATAATGAAATTGGACAAATATATATTGATCACGAGATTCGTATCATTGTACTGAGTGAAACAAATAAAAATGAGAAAGATGCAGTCCATTTTCGCAGGGAACTAACAACCTGGATTATGCAGGCATATAATTAACCTTAATGCTTGGTGAGCGGTCATAATAAGTGCTGAAGCAATAAGCTTTAGCAATTTAAACTAAAGAGCAATGGCTGTTGGCAAGAAACCATAAAATATTTCATCAAAATTGTGATGATGTCTGAACTTGAGTTTCAATGGGGAACTATAATTTCAGTGGGTGAAGTGGAGTTGTGGAGGCATTCCAAGAGAGACATTAGCATACGATTTAGAGGCAGGAAAAATGTGGGCTGCTTTCAGAAACAATGAATACAATGATTGAACAAGACCTTAGTAGAGGCAGTAGGGGTAGTGGAAGTTAGAGCTGGATTTAAAGGTTAGGACCATTGAAGAGGTTCTCGATGGTATATTAAAGGTCTATGTAATATATGTCATTATATATTAATATAGTATACTATATCATTATGTTATTAATATATTAACATGGCACACATTATGTATAAGTATATATTACATATTGGAATATGTTATGAAACATAATCATTATGATTGAATTTTGCCTAATAGGTTTAACTGTGAAGAATTATATAGCAGAAAGGGATAGGGGATGAGCAGACAGAAATCCTATATAACAAAAGGCTAATATGCAATTCGACCAAATGGCGGAACAACCAGTCGTTATGATGCGCCCTGACATAGAAGCATGGAACAGAATGTGGAATCTCAGAGGAAAGGTGGGGGAGGTGGGTGGGTGAGAATTGATCAACCAAAGAACTTGTATGCATAACTCATGGACATAGACAATAGGTGAAGATCTGTTGCAAGGAGCAGGGGAAGCTAGACAAGGTAAATGGGGAAAAAGGGGGACATATGTGATACTTTCAACAGTAAAAATTTAAAAAACGGTAGAATGTGAACAGATTCATGCTAGGTAAAAAAAAAAAAAAAAAGGAATTATAAGGAACACTAACTACATCATAGTTTTAGTTTAAAATCTAAAGCATCAAATGAAATGTTCCCCAACCACCAGTCATTTGCAGAAATTTTGTTCTAATAACTGATTGTTTTTCTTCTATCTTACATATTTTTATGTGACTCTTAAGAATGTGCTCTTAAGTTTTTCCTTTTGAAATAAAAATTTTCTCTTTATTTTCTAAAGTACCTTCTTCAATTACTTTCTCTAATACCCAAACTATCTAGTTCCCCTTTCTAAAGCTGCCATTAGCATGAATTTTTCTAAACTGACTTTTGTCAGTTTCCTAAATGTATCATCATCAATAAACAATGAATACTTATAAAAATTTATTGTACTAGTTGCTGTTACTATAGAGAAACAAGTCAAGCTGTGTTTTCTGATTTTTTTTTAGTATTTCATTGTGAAATATAAATAGCATTGTAAAGAAAAGTTGACTTGTTCTTATGTTCTTTCTTTAAAAATCACTAATCTATACTAATAAAAGCCTAGGTGGCCCTCACGTGCAACTTCGTCACAAGATGGCCACCACAAGATGGCCACCACAAGATGGCCACATGCACAGTGGAGGTGGGGCCCAGCAGCTGCTCCGCGTGGTGAGGTCTGGGGGTCCCGCAGCTCTGCATGGTGCGGAGGAGACGGGTCGTGGCAGGGGAGGGCAGTTGTGGGCAATTGGGCTGGCAGGGGAGCAGTTAGGGGTCAATCAGGCAGGCAGGCAGGCGAGCAGTTAGGAGCCAGCAGTCCCGGATTGTGACCGCAGGGATTGGGCCTAAGCCAGCAGTCAGACATCCCCCAAGGGGTCCCAGATTGGAGAGGGTGCAGGCCGGGCTGAGGGACAGCCCCCCCATGCACAAATTTCGTGCACCAGGCCACTAGTTATTTATAAACTATTTATTGTGAGAACTAAGATACCTTTATTTTTTACCTTTTTTAATGGATCTTTGCATTCCTTAACTCAGATTAAGCCTCATGGAAATTTATTACAAGCAACAACAACAAAATATATTAAAGTTTATAATGAGTACACAATTACTTTCCTCTTATTTATATAAATAATTTAAAACAAAACAAAAGCATTCAGAAAAACTACAGTGTTTTGAGAGTAATTCTAATGATTTAAAATTAATGAATCTATGTCCTAGTATAAGCAATCAAATGTACCATTCAGCCTACAAGAGACAATAACAATATTTGAGGGCTAAAACTGTGTTAAAGACAACAAACTCTTTTCTCCACTACTGCTGTTTCTCTACGTAACTGGACTCTTCAGTTGCCATTTCTGGAGCAAAGTTTCAGAGCCTCACTTGAATGTATAGAACATTTTTATTTCAGCGTAAATACTTCAGCCAAGTGGTCCTACTACACCTTTGTTTATGACAAATAGAAACTTTACCAATGTCATATTAAGCAAGACTTTCAAATCAGTAGTCACCAAACCTTTTGATTGTTTACCCTTATTAATAAAATATTTTGATTCGCCCAAGATAAACATAAATGAAAATCAAAATTAACAATGACAAAATAGACACAGTTAACATTTTCTTACTGCACACTCTAGGAATTAGCACACTCACTTTGCAGATAATTTACATATTCTCTCTCCTGAAAGGACTGAGTTCTTGTTATTACCCATTATTTTAGGAGTTCTTTTCTCCATCCAGTTTGTTAAGCTATCTGGTTGCCAAAAAGCTTTTGCTCTATATATTTTAAACTGTTTTTTCCACCATTTATGCTTTTTAACACTGCTAGCCTTTAATTCCCATGGAACTCATTCTTCCTGTAATTAAAAGTCCATTACTTCTGATATTTAAATTGTTAAACCTGGAACAAACAAAGCATATGTAAACTTGCTCATTTGCCTCAGCTTATTTTAAAGAGCAGGGAGTTTGTATTGGATAAAATTTTTAGTCTGATTTGAAAATGTGTGAATTTGTGTGTGTAGTGTAAATGTGAATATTATTTTCTTATAAATCCCTTGATAATACATAATTAATTACATTAACTTCCCACTTCTTTACTGATTTATTAAATAATTCAATAATTATTGAATTATTCTATTATGTCCACTAGTAATAACAATATTTACAGTATAAGAATAAAGTTCTGGGAAAAAATATCCTCATTAATAAAGTGTGTGTGTGTGTGTGTGTGGATGAGAAAGAGAGAGGGAAGAAAAGAAAGAGAGATAGGGCTATTTTTGTGGTATACACAGCTTAAATTTGTTTTATAGTCTAATGACTCCAAGTTCATTTGTGCACTAATAACCAAAAGAGGTAAAATCTTCTAAAGAAAAAAGCTCTGTAATACTTTCAACAATAAAGATAAATTTTAAATTAATAAATAAATAATATCTCTAAAGTTAAAAAAAAGGAAAAGAAAAAACAGCTCTTTAAATCTGAGATCATTACAAAACACTTTCTTAAAGTCATGAATTAGGTAAAATGAAATGGATTCAATGATGCCACTAAACATGGGCACAACGTTTTTTAGAAGATAAGAGTAATAAGGTCCCTAGGGGAAATATATTTATATCTCCAAGGAATTAACTTCATTTGCAACATTATCTAAGTTTAACAGACAATTTCCATGTTTTTCAATTTTGGAGCCAAGTTTTGCTTCTCAGAAGGACTGGCATTCTGACTGCAGTCTTTCTCAATCCCCATCTCACTAGTTCCCATGTCACTAGCCCTTCCTAAGTCTCCTTTCATCTCTTAGTGACAGATCTGAATCACCGGAAATGAGAAAACATGACTGGCAACCAGTTTCAACAGGCCTTGTTCAGTGGCAGATACAGAATGTAATTTATTCTGTGTGACAGTTTTCATAAATGTGACATGAAACACAGGGATATAATGTTAGCGATATTGCACCTCAGAAGAGGAGAAAGTTTGGTATGTTACCTCCTGATTAGCAGCAGCTAGTTCTTCTTCCAGTGCAGAGACTCTTTCTAAAGAAACCCTCAGTCGCTCCCTTACCTGGAAGAAAAACCAAAAATGTGCCGTAATGTACATCCCATACAAGTTAAACTGCTAATCCGTCATTAACAAAGATAGTCACGGTTGGCTATTTTCCCACTATTTATAGTCCTAATTTTTTGGGAATATGATGAATACATTGTCACCTCATAGTGCCACAGTATCAAAAGAGACTTCCTTGTAACTAAGTCCTTTTAGTGTTTTGAGGATAGATTTTCTTGTGGGTTTGGAGATTGACCCATCTTGTTCTCAATTCTGATTTGTAGTAAGTGAAGGCCAAATTTAAATGTTTAGTAAGATTTAATGAGGAATATAGGTTAGATAACATATGAAATAGATAAAAACATACAAAACAATTATATTTTAAAATATGTTTTTTAGAGAGAGAGGAAAGAAGAGAGAAAGAGAAACATCAATGAGAGAGAAACATCCAACAGCTGCCTGCTGCATACCTCCCACGGAGGATTAAGCAGCAACTCAGGCAAATGCCCTGACCGGGAATGGAACCACCAAGCTCTCAGGGCATGGGACAATGCTCAACCAACTGAGCCACACTGGTCAGGGCCATAAACAACAATTTTTAGGTTGCATTCTTTTCCAATTAGCAAACAAACAAAAAGCACTAGTGTCCTATAAATCTAAAATCTAATTTGAAATTTTTAAAAATCTCAATATACTTTTATACTGTACTAGAGGCCTGGTGCTTGAAAATTAATATACTGGAGGGGGGGGGGACCCTCAGCCTGGCCTGCCCCTCTCACAGTCCGGGAGCCTTCAGGGGCGGGAGATGACCTGGTGATCAGGGGAAGGTGACGCCCTATCACACCTCTGCTGCTGCCACTGCCTGCAGCACAAGCCTCAGCCAGTCCTGGTTACCTGATCCTCAGGTGTTCCTGGTGGTAGGGCAGCCACCATCTGAGGCTTGCCTGTGCCGTGGGTTGGCCCTGGGTGGCTGGGAAGCCACCATCCAAGGCTTGCCTGTGCTTCGAGCTGGCCCTGGGTGCTAGGCGATTGGGGAACTGCGGAAGCAGGCACATGGAGCAGCCGGGCCCGCCCCCAGCCATGCTCACCACCCTGGTGGGGCTGAGGGGAATGAGGGCTGTCATCTTGTGGCTGTGGGTGCTGCCATCTTTGAGGGTGTGGCAGTCAATTAGCATATTCCCTCCTTATTTGCTGTGGGCACTGCCATCTTTGAGGGTGGGGCAGTCAATTAGCATATTCCCTCCTTATTGGCTGTGGTTACCACCATCTTTGCGACAGAGTGGGGGTCAATTAGCATATTCCCTCTTTATTAGATAGGATAATGTTATCTGATATATATTCAGGTGACTGACTGTACTTAAATCCTGAAATAATCTTGAGTAATAAAGAATAAGTATATGAGTGGAGATTAATATTAGTTATTTTCATTATGCTCAAATTCTCTGCAAATTGCTAATCTACACTAATAAAAGACAAAGATGCTAATTGACCATACCTTCGCTATGCCCAAGCCATACCCATCAGCCAATCAGAGTGACTATATGCAAATTAACCCAACCAAGATGGCGGCCGTCAGCCATGGACCTGGGGAAAGCAGGAGGCAACCAAGCCTCCTGCTTTCCCTGGCGATGGAGGAAGCCAAGCTTCCCACCTGCCCTGGCAGGCTGTGGCCTCCGCAAAAGTCAACAAACTTTCAATTATAGAAGCTAAATAAATCCCAGATACCTGCTTCCAGCCAGCCTCCACTGGGAGCTTGGGTGGCTGGGTGCTATGGCCAGCCTGCAAACAGCCATCAGCCTCTAACCCAGGATGGCCACCCCCTCATGGGGTGAGGATCCCTGCTGGGGGGCTTGGCCAGCCTGAAAACAGCCCTCAGCCCCTCACCCAGGCTGGCCAGGCACCCCAGTGGGGGCCATAACCCTGAAAGGTCTGTGGCCAGCCTGAAAACAGCCATCAGCCCCTCAACCAGGCTGGCCAGGCACTCCAGTGGGACCCCCACCCTGATCTAGGACACCCTTCAGGGCAAACCAGCCAGCCCCCACCATGCACCAGGCCTCTATCTATCCTATATAATAAAAGGGTAATATGCACATTGACCCTAACAGCAGAGCAACTGCGAATCACTGGTCACTGTGACACACACTGACCCGGGGAGTGGGCCTAAGGCAGCAGGTGGTCATCCCCCGAGGGATCCCAGACTGCAAGAGGGTACAGGCCAGGCTGAGGGACCCTCCTAAGTGCACAAATTTTTGTGCACCAGGCCTCTAGTACATATACATAAATGGATATTTGATAACAAAGATGATTATGCAGATACTTCATGATATCTAGGCATACTAGATGGACTGCCAGGTATCAGTGCTGTTAGACGAATATCCAGTTGTTCATAACAATACTTATGCTGGTTTGACTCAATGGATAGAGCATCAGCCTGTGGACTGAAGGGTCCTGGGTTCAATTCCAGTCAAGGGCACATGCTGGGGTTGCAGGCTCAACCCCTAGTAGGGAGCGTGCAGAAGGCAGCCACTCAATTATTTTCTCTCATCATGGATGTTTCTATCTCTCCCTCCCCCTTCCTCTCTGAAATCAGTAAAAATATATTTTTTAAAAAATGCATAAAACTTATTCTGATTAATAACTGAACAAGAGCTACTTGGAAGAAACTCTTTATCTGACTTAGGGAATACTTTTGTATGAACATCTTGGAAAGATGCCAAAGAAGCAAATACCCCTAAGGCATGAAAATAGGAGGACTGCTGATATCTGGAATGCAGATATGAATAAAGAGTTTTAGTAGCTGTGCTTGATGTTTAACAAGGATGGTTATAAAGTTTTATGCCCACTTCCTAAAACACTAACTATAAATATGAGTACAGTGGGGCCTTGACTTACGAGTTTAATTCGTTCTGTGACGGAGCTCATAACTCAAATTACTCATATGTCAAATCAAAAAGTGAACGAGTGAGACATGTGTGCTGGGCTGATGTTGTGGTGTTCACTGTGACATTCGCTGAGCCAAATAGCGGTCAGGTATCTGAAGGTGACTCGTAACCCAAATTTTAGCTCGCAACTCAAAGCAAAAAATCAGCCGAGAGACGGCTCGTATTTCAAAAAACTCCTTAGTCGGGACACTCGTAAGTCAAGGCCCCACTGTATTCTGATAAAGGTTTAGGAATCCCAGTTGATGAGAACAGCAATGGTTAAATATAAGTAAATGATTTCACTATATGTAACATTGATTGGATCTCATTTAGACTGCTGTGAAGAGGTTAAGGTACCATATTTTAAAAGATATATTAAAATATTGGAATGATTCTAAAAGAATCACCTGAGTCATATAAGAGTGGCTGAAACTAGGCTATCTTGTAAGTTAAACATTTATATTCCCATTATACTGAGCCTTTAAGGAAACAGCATCACCCCTCAATAAATTTAGAACAGCATTAAAAACTTGATATTATATTAGCCACAAAGTAATGAATCTGAAGCTGTCTTTACAAGAAAATAAAAATAATTTCTGAATATATTTTGAATTAATGTTCTAAATGTAAACACTGTTGATATAAGTATCAATACATTATGTTAATTTTTATTCACATTTACTAGTAGCCTGGTGCACGAAATTTGTGCACTGGGGTGGCGGGGAGAAAGGGGGCCCTCAGTCTGGCCTTCACCCTCTCCAATCTGAGACCCCTCAGGGAATGTCCAACTACCTGTTTGTGCCCACACTTTTAACAGATAACAGCTCCATTGTTGTTTCTTTCTTATGCTTAAAACCATTGGAATTAGTAGGTATTCAAAGTTTGTATACATTTTGGGGGGACACCCTGTATATCTCTAGTCAGTGGTGAAAGAAACCAAAAGCAGATTTGGAACCCCCAAACAGGGAACCTCGCTCACTCCCCACTTCACTTTCCACCTTCGTGGGCAGCAGGAAAATCAACGTTTTCTCTCATTAATTTGGAAAAGCACGTCCTGTCACTTGCTGCCTGGCAGGAGTGCGCTAGGCTCCAAGCAAGCGAGGCTCAGTCAGGGCAGCCTTCGCTCATGGGTGCTGCCACCCAAAGTGCACATTCCTCCTCTACAGTTGCCCCGACTATACCACTGTTTCCCTGAGAGGACGGAATTCCTCTCCGCCTCTGGGTTCTTGATCTTGAACGCTGACCAAGGGCACCTCAGCGAGGGCCACCCGTGCCCACCAGGTGTGTCTGTCCGCACCTGCTCCTGCCTCAGCACCTGCATTAACCCCCCAGTGGTGTTCTCCTAGCTGCACTGGCCTTTGTGGGAACAGGGCATCAACACTCTGCCTTCTCACTGTCATCTCACAGGCGCCCACGCTCAGCACCCAGAACACCCAGACACTCTCCAAAGGATGTGAGCACATCAGAGGGGATGTGTGCACATCCTGTGGGGGTGTTAGGCTAGCTGGGTTGATGGAAGTGCGGTGGAGAGGTGGGGGGAACTTGTGCATGCCTTGGTTTGCAACTGTTGCAGGCGCGGGAGGGTGACATTGTGCTGGGGGATGTTCACACACCAGGGGGGGATGTGCACATTGGAGGCCTCTGGCATTGCAGATCCACAAACCCCCATGGTGCGGCCAGGAGGACGTCAGTCTGGCCTGCCACGGTGGCTGTCCATGCGATCCTGCACCTTCTGGGCCAGGGGGTGGATCTTGCGCAGCCACTCCTAGGCACTGATGGCCTGCAGGCGCTACTTCAGCTCAGCCTGCAGGCTCTGCTTGGCACAATCACAGCTGTCACCACCGCCATGTGGGGAGTACAGGCCTCCCTCCACCAGCCTGCCTCCCCTGTCCAGAGGCTCTCTGTACTGCTTACCTGCCCAGAGTGACTGGGGCTGGGCGGAAGCCAGGCGTCCTGCCATGCCCTGCCCAACCCCGGCCAATCCGCCCCTGTGCGAGCTGCCGCCCCACTGCGAAGGGTCACGGATCTGGGTCCTGGGACCGCGGAAAGCCTCAAGCGCTGCCCCCCGCCCGGCAGGGTCACAGATCTGGTCCCGGACTGCGGACAGCCTTGCCTGCTGCCGCCCATCTTCAGTATGCAAATTAGCCGCCATCTTGTTGCTTCAGGGTGGGGGTCCCCACTGGGGTGCCTGGCCAGTCTGGGTGAGGGGCTGAGGGCCGTTTTTAGGCTGTCAGGCAACTGAAGCTCCCAACCTCTCCTTTTTTTCTTTTTCTTTTTTAATTCTGGGATTTATTTACCTTCTACGGCAGCCACTGGAGCTGAGAGCTGGCTTTAGCTCTGAGGCCCTGCTGCAGCTCTGAGACCTCGGATGCTGAAAGCAGGGATCTGAGTTTCTTTGGGTTCTATAATTGTAACACTGTTGCGGTCCTGCTGGCTGAAGCCCGGCTGGCTGAAAGCAGGTTTCTGGAGTTTGTTTAGGTTCTATAATTGCAACATAGTTGCTTAGAGTTGCAGCTCAGAGGCCGGCAGTGGCAGGCGGGGAACCTTGGCTTCCTCCATCACTGGAGTAAGCAAGCCTCCTGTTCACTTCAGCTGCCTGGCTGCTGGCCGCCATCTTGGTTGGCAGTTAATTTGCATATCGCCCTGATTAGCTAATGGGAAGCATGTTGGAGCTACGGTTAATTACCATGTTTGTCTATTATTAGATAGGATATTAAAATGAAATTGTTCTCTGTATATAATTTACTATGTTAAACTTAGTAAAGAAACAATAGGTAGGACAAAAAGGTAACATTTCCAGGGTTTACTAGTAAAGAAGACGAACATTTTACCTTGTGCACATAGGTGAAACTCCAGTGATAGGAAAACAATAGTATATCTGACAAGGCTTTCACCTTTTTGCTCTGCTCTGAGCATAGCATCAGCAGGATGCCATAATTACCTTAATTCTTCATATTGGATTTGGTGGTTTTTTTCCCCCCTAAATATGAGTACACAATGTATAGCCTTGGCTCTAAGCTTAACTTTATTAATTTTTTTTATTTGACTATATTCAATTCATCAATTCCTGCATAGTCTTTATGTTAAGATATATTGCTTGCTTATTTAGAGAGCTATAATATAACCCCCAAAATATATATTTTATGCATGTATAGCATATTTGATATATAATTTCATTTGTGACATCTATATTCCTCATAATGCTATAAAAATAATTATGTGGAATTCTTTCTTCCCAAAAGATGTTTCAAAGCCACAGAAATTGTATCCCTGTGAATTAAAATAAAATAAATCCCTAAATACAACAAATGTGCTTCAGAATGAAAAGAAATTTTGGTGGAATAAGCATACATTTTAAATAAGTATTAAGTCATGGCAGGATTTCATTTTGGAATTATCCATCTTGTAACAACACCATTGTGAGAAAATCTTCAAATAGCAAAAGTTCAAACCCAGTTTTGGTACTGTTATATTAGATCACAGAAATTAATGGGGAGTGCATATATATTTGATATTTTTGCCATAATTGCCATATATCTCCTATATATTTTTTAAAAATAGTCAATACAAAACGCATATGTATTTCTCACTTCCTCCAGCCTACAGAATTGGTGAATATATTAGAGAGTGATGTCAAAACTACTGTTGGTCTTAGCTAATTGTAATAATCCTACCTTCGAACTTAGTGGATGTATGAATAAGGACATCCGCAATGAAGACTGCCAGTCATTTAATTGTCCATAGCATGCTCAAGCTTTTATACTGCATTTAGTTCTTCAGGTGTTCTAAACCCTGTATGATAAAGTTGGCAGTTTCTTGCTCTCAAGATATGGTTAATTGCATATTCATTTGATCTTCTATCCATATTTTAATATAATGTCCATAAATTAAATTAGATATTGTAATTACTTGTTTTATGTCTGTTTCCTCACACATTCCTATCATCATGAGAAGCTGTGAGCTATTCTTAGTTAGATAAATTGTCTATGAAGGTGCTTAGTCACATATTAATTCCTCAATAACTAAATGAAATATTTATTTTTAAAATATATTTTACTTATTTTAGAGAAAGGAAAGGGGAGGGATAGAGAGATAGGAGCATCAATGAGAGAGAAACATCAGCCAGCTTCCTGCACGCCCCCTGTTGGGGATCTAGCCTGCAACCAAGGTACATGCCCTTGACCAGAATCAAACCCAGGACCCTTCAGTCCATGGGCCAGCACTCTATCCACTGAGCCAAACCGATTAGGGCTGAAATACTATTTAAAACAAGCATGAAGGTCAACAGTGATAATATCTTTACATAGTTCTAAAGCTTTGTCAAATGCTGAAACTTGGTACTCATGTTAATAGTAATATCCATTTAATATTCACTGAGCATTTGACACATGCTGAGCATGAGCTAAGAGCTTTGCATGTCAGATCATTCCTAATCCTCATGACAACTCTATGAGGTAGGTGCTATTATTCTCTCCTCAAAAAAAGAAGATGCTTAGAGATGACAGTTATGGATGTCTGTCCAATTTCAGAGACCAAAGTCATGACAGTTTTCCTTTAAGCTGTTGAGCATTACTTAGTTGATAATTAGTTCAGTTGTCCCTAAACTTACTAATATGCAAGACACACCTGGTGAGTTATTACATCATATTACAGCTTCCTGGGCCATGGCTTAAAATACTTCATTTAATTATGTTGAGTTCACTGTACTGATAGTAAATTATTTCTATATTCTAAGTTGTACAACAATCATTTTCTTCTTAAATGTATGTACATCTATCAGGTTATTTGTCTTAAATGGTGTTTTTTGCTTTCTATTCATTCCTGCATAAAAGTATTCCTCACTTAAATGATGTGGGGTGCTTCCAGGGAGCATCCCAAACCACACATTCTCAAGTACCTTCATTCAAGTTATGTTAAATTTTCTCTGAACAGGTCATGTTCTTCATATACCTCTGGGTTATATTATATATTGGCTGCAGTGTTTAAAGTATCTTTATTTCTCTGCTTAAAAAACCCTGACACATTTTTAATACCCAGATCAAATGTTACCCCCTCTATGAATACATTCACGACTTCCTTGTCACTTTCTCAAGCAGAATAAGTCACAATTCTTTCTGTGACTCGTATCACATTTTACACGTCTTCTTAGTAGTGCTGTTATTGACATGTGAATCTGCAGTACTAATTTTAAACTCCTCAGTTGTAAGAAGAATATATTATTTATCTTTTTGTGACAAATATCTGCCAAGGAGTCTGATACATAACAGATATTCTATAAAGTCTTGCAGATTCTTAACAATATACTTTTGTAATAAGAAAGGGGATATAATATGAAACAACATTAAATATATTCAATGATGATTTGATAAGCAATATTTGTTGATATTATGTTTATCAGGAATCATTATATATTTTTGATTTATTCAGTATTCATAAAAAGTCACCTCTCAGAGCTAAAATAAAAAATAAAATAATTTATTCCTAATTATCTGGAAAACAGAACTATAGTTATTATTATGTATATATTCCACATAATCCCCAGCTCAAAGAACATCTGAAAGATCAATGATAAAAATACATATGTATATAAATATTAAATAGAGCAAGAGTGCCTGCATGTCAAAACCTAGATATAACTGGGTAAGAATCCCTAGTGTGGATTTTAATGCTCAGAACTTTTCTGATAGTTTACAATGAAGTGACCCAATTTCCACTTTACAAAATCCTAAAGCTTTATTCATTTTTAAATGTTCATTCTTTAAAACTTACAAAATGGAAATTATGTCATAAACCTTACTAACCCGCAAAGAATATTATCATCATATTGGCTTATGTCAGTAGAATCTATCTGAGGACCAGCTGAAAGAAATTTATGGCTACTTTAAAAAAGACCTAAAGTAGGTTTTTCTACTAATACCTTATGCTATTATCTTCAGCGGCTTAAAAATGTATATTCAAAACTATGATATTAGAGACCTATAAATACTGTATGGTTATAATATATACTTCAAGATATGCTTACTTGCCATTTAGTTGTCTCTAATGTTGGCATCTATATACATGCATTTCAGAGAGAGGTGGGGCAAGAGGAAATGAAAAAGAGAGAGAGAGAAAAGCTGAGTGATAATATTAAATTTCAACTGGCAATAGGGAGTTGGACCATAATGTACCATAACAGAAGTCTAACGTGAGAAGCCATATATCCAGTGGCATTAAAAACATTCACATAGTGATGAATGTTACCAATATACACACAGTAATCCTGTTGCATTTATAAAAAATAAATTTCTTATAACTCAAAGGTGTTCCTCTGAACTGAGTGTTCAGGAGTCAGGAGTGTCATGGATGAAGACAAAGAGCACAGTTGCTGCAATCCTCAGCAAAAGCACAGGGAAGCTGAAATCTTTTGCCATTACTATAGTTTTTATTTTTAGTAAAGTTTTTTTTTTAAAAAAATATAGCTTTTTTGAAGTAAAGTTGACATGTAAGATTGTAAGAATCCCTTTTACAATACTGTACCTTTTCATCCAAGGCCTTGTGGTGCTCAAACAAAGATTTCAGTGCCTTGAGAACCTCCACTTCACTGGAAACTCCCGAGGGGGACTGGGCTTGCCGTTTTACCACCGTCATTCTTAGTGACCTTTCGTGTCGTGACACAAGGCACTCCAAATGCTCCAGTAACAGCTGTTGAGTTTAACAGAAAATAGAATTATCTTATGGATTTGAATGATTAATTCTTAAAAATGACTTCCTTAAAAGATTGTAAGTTTACATAATATCTAATGATAACCTCAGATTATAATACAGGTAAGTGGCAAAAAGTGCAAACCTGTGTCCAAACCAGGCTTCATAAACTACATTAAAACTAAATAGCATTGCAAGAGGGCATAGAGGGGATAAAGGTGATGGGGAAAATCAACTAAATTGCAGTTCTATTATATGAAAAATTACTGAATTTAAAAATATAATGTAAATTGTATACATTCTTTTGGAAAATTTAACCATTTGAGTATGGATTCAGTAGAGCACAATGTAATATGTGTGACCCAATATGAAAATTATTAAAGAACATTGCACAATGCATGATGGTTTTGTTAATAATGTTTAAAGTCAAAATTAATTCCATTTACATTTGGTTATTTAATTTTTTTATTTGAAGGAAATGTACATAATAATCACATGGCTTTAAATGTGATTGTAATGATAATCACATGTTGTATAGTGATTACAGTAATAATCACAATTACCAGTTGCTATAGTAATTATTAGTGATAATTGCTAATAATTTTATGTACAATTAATTCTTAAATTATATCATAAAAATGTATGCAGTCAAATGGAATAGAGTAACTGAAATTTGCAATAGTCATTTTGGAAAAAAGGTTAAAGGACGTAATTTTATTTTAAATCATTTTTTATTTTTTAATTACAATTGACATGAGATATGTATATATAAATTTCAGGTATAAATACTTTTTAAACTGAGTAGTCTAGAACCTTCATTTACCCAGAGTGGCCACTGGAGCCATGATAGAAGTCCAGGATAGATAGAAGTCCAGTGGTTTCAGTATATTACAGACTCTATGCTTTGACTTTTTCCAGACAAAATTTGTTTTTAAATGTTTCGTGACTTAGAATATCACCTTTATTTTATTGTATGAGGGAGTTCTGCCACTAAAAGCAAAGATACATGAGAAGAAAATTAAAAAAAAACTGGGTTATCAGTTATTAAAATGTTGCTATTGAAGAATAACACATGACCAGTTGGTTCTTTAGGAGAGCTTTTCAGGAGGATGGTGGAAGTGTAGGCTAACAAATGGTGTCTGTGCAAAATAAAGCAGAAGTTACTCAAACAAGAGAAAAAAAACAAATAGAAGATACTGGGGTGGAAATAAAAAATTTAGTTTTTTCCCCAAGATTTTTTCCTAAAGCTTACACAGTAATGAAAATTTTTGATTTTCATAATGTCATTGCTAGATTGAGTGTCACATATTAGCATCACATTTCTTAATGTTTATTAAGTTAATAAGTTCTCTACACTTACTATTTCTAATTATGGGTCAGTGTCAGAAAACTTTGCCATGCCACTGGCATAAAGAAACATAAAAACCTGAGATTCTAAACATATACAAATCAGTAGGTAGAGGTCATGTTTAAGGATCAAAATAATTGTAATAGAAATTCTCTATGAAGATGACACAAATATTGATAGTTCAAGGAGTTTTCCTTTTATTTATCAACTTCTGATTATATTCATGATATTCTACTCTTGAATTCTATAGATACATGCCCGAGTTCATTAAATCTAATCAGTTTCAGGTAGGCTATATAGCATGTTATGCACTTAACCCTGCCTATTTCTCCAACATCATCTGGTGTTAGTCTTTCCCTGCAAAGCATGCTCTAACTACATACGCCTACTTTTGGACCCTCAATATGCCGAGCCTTTGCTTGTGTTGAAATTTCTGCCTGGAATACTCTTCCTTTGGCTCTTCATGTGACCAGCTCTTTCTCATTCTCTAATCTTAGTTTAAACTTCACCCTCTCAAAGAAACCCTTGCTTGATACTCTGTGTGAGGTAGGTCTCTCCTCTTCCCATCCTCCATAATCCTCTATTTGAATCTCTTGCTTATTTTCTTCACAACATATCATGCTGTGTTATTTCTCAAGAACAATTTCACTAAATTTTATTGTTTCCTCATTAAAATATAGACTCCGCAAGGGTAGGTACTATGTTTATCTTGATTTAAATGATCTGGGTATTTGAATATTGGCTTAGTTCCTGACATCTATAGATACACAATAAGTATTTGTTGAGTGGATACATGTCGGTAATACTGTTGTTTAGAATTTTAATATGAAAAAGGAGCTGATAAAAGTGAGATTGTACTGTAGACTTGACAGTTGTGGTTGCCCCAAATCTTATGAACAAACCCTCCATATTTAATAGTTCCCCACTTTCTGAATGCTATTGTCTCAGTAACATAGGCTCCAAGAAACATTTCTCAGTCATGGCTACCACTAGGTGGCAGATATGTGACTTAAGAGTCAGCTAATCAGAGCCACGTGCACAGGACAGATTCTGAGGGGAGAGATGAGGAAATGTGATGGGCGGGGCATCTGTTTTGCTGGCACAGGTAGCAGCAGAGGGTGCATGTTACTGGGACTGGGGGTGTGAGGAAAATTTACAAGACTAAGAAATGTGGTCCTAGAAATTGTGCCTGGAAGCTCAGTTGAGAGATTTTTATATACCTTAATTAATGTTTTCTTGATTAAAACAGCTAAGCTGTGCTCTTATGTGCAACTAGGAACTCTCATCTATATAATAATAAAACCAAATATATTTTTATTAGTATAAAACAGACTCCTTAAGAGCTTAAATTAACTTATCCTGAATACACTTCAATACTAGGAAAATATTCTACATAACATATGCTTAGTACTTGACGATTTAAATTAATGATAAATATAAATTATCTAGCCTGGATAATGTGCCTACAGATATTTTAATGTAGGGTGTATCTATGGCTTTTAAGCTTACAAATGAAAATAAATTAAAAATAAAAAGAACTAATCCAAGATACCACTTAATATTTGCTAATTGTACCTTTTCTGGAAGCCACACTTTAGTATAATATTTAATAAAGCTTGCAGAGGTATACTAAAAAAAAAAATTCAGGGGCTATATGAATGGCCATTAATCCTATGTTGGAGTTCACTTTAAATGACCACAGCATATATAGCTATACAAAGAAACATGTCATATATGCATGCACACATATGGCACCGTTGGATATTTTTTAACTAAACTTCTAAAACTATACATCTTTATATTAATACATGAATTTGACATAACATTGTGCACAATTATTTACAATGACAAGTGGCATTGAAGTAGAAAGCACCTATATATGCATACACACGTATCTTCACCTGCTTTTCACCGCTAGGGTCTTCTTTTTCCTCAATTGGACTGTATTTTATAATCATTGAGGAAATGTCTTTGGAGGAAGGTTATGAACTTGTGTAGAAAGGTTTGTCAGGAATGGGAAGCTTTCCTTTGGTAGTGGCAGGTTTCTGTATTTGAACATTTATATAATTCCTTTAGATAAAAATAAGAGGGCAGAGTAAGAATTGATTTAAATTAGGTCTTTAATTTGAATTAAGGACAATTAGGTCTTAGTTTATGACCCATGAGATGAGATTTCAGCTTTGTTATTTCTGACTTCTGAAATCAAAGCTTTCTTTTCAAAGTTATGCAGTCGTTACAACCATCCTTTGAGATCTTCAGCCACAAAAACAGTTGAAACAGTTCCAAAACAACAACAAAAATTATGTACTCTGAGCCCAGCCGGCATGGCTCAGTGGTTGAGCATCGACCTATGAACTAGGAGGGCAAGGCTCAATTCTCGATTAGGGCACATGCCCAGGCTGCAGGCTGGATCCCTAGTGTGGGGTGTGCAGGAGACAGCCGATCAATGATTCTCTCCCATTATTGATGTTTCTATATCTCTCTCTCCCTCTCCCTTCCTCTCTGAAATCAATAAGAACATATTAAAAAATTCTCCATTCTGATATTAAGAGATAGTAACTATATCAACATTTTTGGTTTCCTTTTATCTCGTCATTAATTCAGATAATTCTGAAGGAAAAACCATGTACATTCTAGTAATCAAATTGAGTAAGTTGAAATAAACATCAGAAATAAGTTATTTTCTCTAAGTATAACTTTGTCTAAGTGTGATCAGAGTTTTAAGAATGACAAGTCTTGTTTAATCACCTTTTTCTATATTTTATTAGTGTGGTAATATTAAACAATAAAGCTTGCTTAATTGTTTCTGTAAATACTTGCTATAATATTTGTACAATCAAGTATAACATTAGGATGCTTTTATTTGGATGTCCTCAATTTAATTACTTGAGGCAGTTGGATTTTCATTCACTCATATTTCGGGGCAAGGGACCAGTTGTTTCTGTAGTGACAACATGATACATAGCCACAACTTTCAGCTTGGACATCACAATAAATACCTAGTACATTATTTTCCACACAATTGAGGCAAAAATAAATTATTGAACAGATTAGGAATGAATTACACACACAAAAAAGGACTCTGCTCTTCCTTAAACACAATTTTATCATAGCACATGTGACTTGTGAATTACATAGGAATATGATTTCTTAGATACATCACCTGTGGTGAAGCTGAGCAATGGATTCCCTGGGTGTGTCACTTCTCAGTCATGTGACCTGATGCAAGTTACTTATTATGTCAGTTTTTTCATCAGTTAAGTGGGGAAAGTGGGAGTGCCACAAGGATAAAGTGGGTTAAACATGTGAAACCCTTAGAAAAACATTCTGTACTTAATTAATTTAGCTATTATATTATCATTTTTATTACTTGATATATTAAATAAACTTTATTCATTAAACTCCATTGAAAACTTCCGTTTTCTATTTCAAAGAAGGTATAATTCATCCAAATATCAAACAGGAGGGCCCTTCTGATCTGATTTTTTATGATACTCAAAATTAACACAAATACCTCTATCCATTTATGAGTTCTCTTTGTGATTGTCTTTTTTTGTGTTATTTCAACCCATATGTTAACTACTCAAGATAAAAGGACAAGTTTATGAGAACCATGGAAATTAAAACATGCAATTCTACTTTAAACTTTCTCACAATCTAACACCAATCAAAAATTTTTGCAGGCGTGAGAAGAAAATACTAGCTTGTTACTTTCTCTAAATGACCAATAAGTAGGTGTTTATAGCAAGGGGAAAACACAGCATATAGAAGAAAAACGATTATATAAAATCTATAAAACTGTTATATTTAGCAACATTTAATAGGGCATTATGGAGGAAGAGATGGGTATTGCTAGTTTTCAGCCCTTTATATTTTTTGTGTGGTGGAGAAGGTCAGAGGTGATTATGTAACTTAGGTAGTTGTCATATAACCAATATTTTGCACAAGGAAGACTTCATAAATTCATTTTCCTTTGACATAATCAACAAAAAAAATCCTCCATATAACTGATTTTAAGGAAAGTAGAGAAATGTTTTCTAGGTGGAGGACAGGTGAAAAAAGTAAAGGGGATTAAGAAGTACAAATCACAAATTATAAAAATAGTCACAGGGCTGTAGGGAATCTATGCTAATAAAAGAGCAATATGCTAATTAGACCGGATAGCCAAATGACCTTCTGGATGTCCTTCTGGACAAAGCTGTGGTGGCAGAGCCCAAGTCAGAGGCAGTTAGGGGTGATGAGGCAGGCAGTGGAGCAGTTAGGGGGCGATCATGCCAGTAGGGGAACAGTTAGGGGGTGATCAGGCTGGCAGGGGAGCAGTTAGGGGCAACAGATAGGTAGGCAGAAGTGATTAGGGTTGATCAGGCAAGCAGGCAGAGAGGTTAGGGGTGATCAGGCAGGCAGACAGGCAAGCAGTTAGGAGCCAGCGGTTCCAGATTGCAAGAGGGATGTCCGACTGCCAGTTAGGATCAGGCCTAAACTGGCAGTCAGACATCCCTGAGGGGTCCTGGATTGGAGAGGGTGCAGGCCAAGCTGAGGGACTTCCCCTCTCCCGTGCACAAATTTCATGCACCAGGCTTCTAGTATAGTCAATAATACTGTAATAACTATGAATGGTGGCAGATGAGTACTAGACACATTACGGTGATGTCTTCATAAGGTACATAAATGTCTAATCTCCAATTTGTACACCTGAAAGTAATATAGTATTGTATGTAAAAAATAATTTTAAATTAATTTTAAAAGAAAGAAAAGAAAAACATTCTCCAGGTTTATCCATGTTTTCAAAGTAACTATTATTCATGTTTAAAATCAATGGCTTCAGCCGAAACCGGTTTGGCTCAGTGGCTAGAGCGTCGGCCTGCGGACTGAAAGGTCCCAGGTTCGATTCCGGTCAAGGGCATGTACCTGGGTTGCGGGCATATCCCCAGTAGGAGATGTGCAGGAGGCAGCTGATTGATGTTTCTCTCTCATCGATGTTTCTAACTCTCTATCTCTCTCCCTTCCTCTCTGTAAAAAATCAATAAAATATAAAAAATAAAATAAAATAAAATAAATAAAATAAAATCAATGGCTTCAATTTCTACTGTCCTAATGAAACTTAATACTTGTATTTTGCTCACATTGACTCCTGAATAGGTATTTCAAATATAGCTTGCCTTTGTTCTTTTATTACCCAAGCTCCTTTGCAGGTACAATAGTCACAGGCACTTTTGGACCTCTTGGGGTATAATATGGTGAAAACCGTGTGGATGATGTCCCCAAATCTCCCAGTTCTCTGAAATTAGTCACAATTAAGGAGAACTGACATACTCTATATGGTAGAGATTAATTCTTAGGCAATGTCTCATATAAGCTGTAGTAAACCTACGCGTTTTTTCATGGATTTAAATTGAATAATTGTGCTGAAGGCCTTGTGGCTAAGGGTACAGGCTCTGGAGTTACTCTGCCTTAGTTTTTAAATCCCTTATGTGCTATTTATCACTGCATGACTTCTGGCAAGTTATCTGCCCTTTTCTGAGCTCAGCTGACTCATCTGCAAAATGGAGATAATTATAACATCTCCCACATAGGGCTGTGGAAAGGGGTAACAGGGATGTGGAAAGAAAGGCTACATAAAGCAGAAATAGATACACAACCAATAAGAGAGTTTCTGTGCATTTTAAATATGAGAAATAGTTGAAAGCTACCTGGAGGTTTGCATCTCCCTCCATTTTCAGCTTCCGGCTCCTACTTTTACATTTGGCATATTGTGCTACATCAGGGAATGTAGCCAAAAGTGTTAAAATAGAGAGTAGTGAAACCGGGCAGAATAAAGCTCATAGCAGAAATAAACTTTAAATTTGGGTGGGAAAAAATACAGTGTAACTCAAAAGTCAAGGGTGGGGCAATATATAGAGGGAGAAAAAAAAATTAACCTGACCCCTAAATAACACGATCTAAACTTCTCATTTTGTCCTGTTTGGAGCACCATGAGACTGGCTCATCAGAGTCACAATAAAAACCAGTTCCTGTGTGCACACGCATAAAACAAGCCCCTGATGAATAAGGAGATAAACTGAATCTGATGATATAACCATTGTTCATGTAGCAGTATCTCTCATTAGCGCACTAGCTCACTGTTTATGAAGCTATAATTTTTATATTACTCTCCAAGACCAAGCATAAAATGAACAAGTACATTAACTATAACTTGTTTTCTCAGCATTAATCTGTTAGAACTCTAACATTTAAAATATTTTTCACCTACTTTATATAAAGTTGAACTACATCACACAAAAGTATTTTTTCTCTATGTTCATTAGTAGAATAGCTGCTCTCATTTCTGGGCATTATGGTAATTTATATATTTTATTAAATTTAGTGACTTCATAGCTAGAAAAGGCGGAATCTTCAATCACATTTTGAACTTGAATGTTAAATGTTATGAGATTGAAACAATACGTGGGTTTCCAAGAGGAGAATATAGTATATTCCATCAGTTTCCTAAACTCAGAAATCAGAAATGAAAGTCTCCATGACAATCTTCTAAAACAGAAAAAGTAGATCTCTTTTAACTTGGAGATTTCTGTTCCAGTGGTTTTGCATTTTAAAACTTTAAAAATTTTTTTATAAATAAATATTTTGCTGGGTGAGGTAAGGCCAATGCCACAACACTCCCTCATATTACCTCATAATCGAAACTCATGCTCCCCCCCTCAAACCTCTCCCCTGTGCCTATCTCTGGCCTCTGAGGTATTGGTTGCCCACTCCAGAGTAACACTTTGAAAGTTTGAAATTCTGTATTGAAACCCAGCCTTGCTTTTTAAAATTGAAAAAAGCAAAAAGGACAGGGGAAAGGGACATTTTCTAAGGCAACATAGTAATTTAGTACCCGAAACTCTAATTTAGGTTTCCTGTCTTCCTGTTTTGAGTTTTGTAGTATATTGTCCTTTATTTTAAGTAACTGACTGTAAGTGATGTCTGCTTAAAGTATTCCTGAAGTTTTTAAATATTTATTTTTTATGCCCATATAAGAGATAAGGCACTGAATTATATATGTAATCAATTTCAAGCAGAGGCAGTTTTATACTTACTCTTGTGTTATTTCTTTCAGCTTTAAGTTCAGAAATTTCTTCTTCCTTTTCTAGAAGTTGTTCCCTACATGCATTTAATTCTTTTGTCAGTGCAGCAAATTCCTGAAAAGGGAATAAAACATATTTGAAGACACATTTCAGATTAAGGAAAAACAACATTCCAACATAAATTTAAAAAGTCAAAGTCTAATCGTTTGAATGTAAAGAATGAAAAAAAAATGACTCAATTGACTGGCTATATACATATTTTGCTGTTACTAAATTAACTTGATTCCAACATTCAAAAAATTTGAATTCATTATATTTAACATATACATTTTATTATAGTATGCTGCTTAGATGAATGGATAAAATATGTTTCAAAATGTATCAGATATATTGTACTGAACTTAACATTCGTATGATAATATATATATGTAAAAAACAGAGAAATATGCTAATTAACCAGGACATGTAACGGGTTGGTTGACTGGATAGGAGGCGGTTGCGTGCGCAGTGTCAGGGGCGGGGCATCAGGGGCCTCCGTGTGCCTGCGCTGGGAGAGGGCATGATCAGCAGTGGCTGTGGCTGCTTCAAGGGCCGGAGAGGGATTGGGGGGCACCTCGCGATTTTGAATCGCACACTGGGCTCCTAGTGTATTAATAATATAGAAATTTAAATTTGACTAATTTTGTTAACCCCTCAAAAAATCTTACACTTTTATTCCTATAGAGAGCAATGTTGTGACTACATACCGGATCATCAAAGAACACACAACAAAAATACTACCACCAACACCAACCAAAAAAATCCTACTAAATGTGCTATTTAGAGATTAAAAAGTTCATTTACCCATTAACAAGATAAAGAAAGAGAATGTACCTCTTACAAAATAATAAGTGGACTTAAGACTTGATAACATTATCAAAGAGTCTCTTACTAATTTATGCATAGCCTTTCTTCTTAATTGTAAAGTCCATATGAAATGGGACTTTGTCTGACTTCACTACTACACTCCCAACATCTACGACATAGTGGGTGCTCAATTGATATTTATTTTCAGTAAATGAAAGTGGATCATGTTATGAAATATTGGAAGTTTTGGAGTATTGCTCTGTACAACAAATGACACTTCAGTGGCTTCCTTCCCCTGAATGCAATCAGACAGTACAGGGTGGGGCAGAAGTAGGTTTAGATTTAGAGTCATGAGTACAGTAGAGGAAACATAGAGTTCATTCTTGTACTATTACTTATTGATTATTGTATTATTCTTCATACAAACAACTGTATATAATATGGACAATTTTACTACTAAGCAGAGTTTAGACACTGTAAAAATTACTTTAAAAGAAGATCAAGAAATCAAATTTGCCTATTCTGCTACTCTTATAAGCAGACATTATTTTAAAACATTTTTGAAAAATAATAAACGGGTCTATATATATTTAATAATTTAGAGTGAGTCTTAGTAACAAAATTGGTGCTTGTCAAATATTTAAGTATTTGGGGAAACTTAGCTGCAGACTGAGAAGGCACTGTCAGAGGATTTTAAAAAATGGGGGAAATATGTTTGGTTAATGTAACCTCCACAAAGGCAAGTTTAGTATAAAGTAAACAAATGTGATGATTACACAAAGCTGGGAAAGGTTGAGGGTTTATATTTTTCCTTGCGTCAAACCACTTATTTTGCTGAATTTTTCTGAGTGGCTTCAGCCCAAGTGAGCACTTCAAAGCCATCAGAATAGAACGAGAGCTTAAAATCAAGATGAAAGGGTCCCTTGCTCCATTTGGGCTGGCATTACATATAAGGGTTTTCTCCCCTAATTGCTGCCTGCTTAAATGCTATTGATATTTTCTGATATGATATTTAACTGGAGAATGGAAACAAACAAGTAGAGAACAATAAAAATTTGCATAAAAATGAAGCCTTTGTATGAACTGCATACTTTGATGGAGAAAAGAAGAAAGAGACAAAGGTTCTGCATTGTGTATTATTAACATACTAGAGGCCTGTTGCATGAAGAGATTCGTGCAATGGGCTTTCCTTTCCCCTGGCTGCTGGCACCGGTTTGCCTCCAGCACCTGGGGCCCAGGCCTTTGCTCTGGCTGAGTTCTGGCCACAGCTGGCCCCAGAAACGTCAGGCTCCGCTGCTCCGCTGGCCCCGAGGCCATGAGGCCTTGCTGCTCCACTGGCCCTGGGCCATCAGGCTTTGCTCCACTGCTTGGAGCCTATGTATGCAAATTAACCACCATCTTTGTTGGTGGTTAATTTGCATATCATGCTGATTAGCCAATGGGAGACGTAGCGAAGGTACGGGCAATTACCATGTTTGTCTATTATTAGATAGGATAGTCATTTAACCCTTGGATGGTTTGACTCAGTGGATAGAGTGTCAGCCCAGGACTTAAGGGTCCTGGGTTTGATTCCAGTCAAGGGCATGTACCTCAGTTGCAGCTTGATCCCTGGCAACTGATCAAAGTGTCTCTTTCACATCAATATTTCTCTGTCTCTCTCCCACCCTTCCACTCTCTCTAAAAATCAATAAAAAAATATCCCCAGGAGTGGATTAACAACAACAAAAATGATACAAACATATAGTCACTTAAATGTAACCCTATGCTCATGAATATTATTATAAAACAGAAATCAATTATGTGTACTTAACATAGACATTTTAAGAAACATATATTTGGGTTGATCTTTCTGGAGATTTAGCTTGTTACATACAGAAAGATAAAAAAACAAAAGGAATTGAATATTTCCAGGTAGTGAATAATATGTGATTTTTTTGGCTTCTTCCTATGTATTTCTATTATCAAACCCCCTGCAATGTAGAAATATGCTTTTATGTGTAGAGAATAAGAGAAAAATATAACTCTGCAAGTGCATTCAGGTATTCAAAATTGAGTGATGATGTGTCAATGTAAATTCATCAATTGTAAGAAATGTACCATGACATGACATTTACTCAAGATGCTATTGGTGACAGATGACTTTGCATTTTTTATTTATTATCATGGCACTGATTATGAGCAAGCTATTTAGTGACTCCATGTATTAAAATTAGACTTACACTTATTGACTTCTTGAATATTTCAGGCACTACTTTCACATTCATTATCTCATCTTGCTCTCTAATAACCAGTGAGGGAGTCTCCTTCCTATTTTATGGTGGAGGAAACTCGATTACTAAGAATTAAATCCAAGTTCACAAAGCAAGCCATAGAGAGTGAGTTAGGCCATGAACTTGGTTCCCCAGACTGTGTGTCTAGTGCTTTTCCACTACACCATTTTAACCTTAGTTGTTCATCAGGTTTATATGATTCAGATCCAGGGTGCATTTAGCAATACTCTTTTTTCTTATCCGAAGAATTGGATAACCATTATTTACAATTACCTTGCATAATCCTTCTTAATTAGTTCAAAGAGAGGGTGGGGAACTAGGAGACTCAAGGCAAGGTATTCCTTCCAGGCAGAGGAACAAGTATTAGACAACATATTCTGCATATCTAGGACTGCTGTAGATGCGAATACTTCACATGGAGTTATCAAATGATTTTACACTTTTCTTCTGATTTTTTTTCTCTACCTACTTTTCCATCCATACTGTAAATAATTGAGTTTTATATAATCTTTTATGAAATAATATCAGAAAATATAATTATGCCCTAACCGGTTTGGCTCAATGGATAGAGCGTGGACCTGCAGACTCAAGGGTCCCAGGTTCGATTCTGGTCAAGGGCATGTACCTTGGTTGCGGGCACATAACCAATAGGGAATGTGCAGGAGGCAGCTGATCGATGTTTCTCTCTCATAGATGTTTCTAACTCTCTATCCCTCTTCTTTTCCCTTCCTTTCTGTAAAAAAATCAATAAAATATATATTTTTTAAAAAAGAAAATATAATTAGCATGGATTGATATGCCAGGTACTCTGCCAAGCAATTTATATTGATTATCTGATTCATCCTATTAAAACCCTGAAAAATACAATATCTCACTAAACAAAACTATATATTCTTATCATATAATCCAGCAATCTCACACCTTGGTATTTAACCCAAAGAGTTGAGAATTATCTACACAAAAACCTGCACATGGGTGTTTATAGCAGCTTTATTCATAATTGCTAAAACTGGTAAGTAACCAAGTTGACCTTCAGTAGGTGAATAGATAAACAAATGGTGCTATGTCCAAACAATGGAATATTATAAAGTGCTAAAAATGAAATGAGCTATCAAGCCAGGAAAGAAACATGGAGGAACATTAAATGCATATTACTAAGTGAAAACAACAACAACAATCTGATAAAGACTACATTCTGTATGATTCCAACTATATACCATTCTGAAAAAAAATCAAAACTATAGATATAGTAAAAGGATTAATTCTTGCCAGGTGCTGTGAGGGTGGGTGGATAAATAGAACAAGTACAGATAACTTTTAGGACAGTAGAATACTCTGTATGATAGCATGACAGATATATATCATTATACATTTTTCAAACATGTAGCATGTTCCATAATGTAGAGTGAACAATAATGTAAACTATGGACTTTGGGTGATGCTGTGTCAATGTAAGTTCATCAATTACATATAAGAAATGTATCACTCTGATGGGGAATATTTTTAATGAGGGAGGCTATGCATGTGTGGTTGCAGGAAGTATATGAGAAAGCTCTGTACCTGTCCCTCAATTTTGTTGTGAACCTAAAACTGCTCTAAGAGTATAAATTTTCTTTTTCTAAATCTCATTGAGGCATAGAGAAGTTAAGACATTTCCCCAAAGTTAGACACTTAGTCAATGGTATAGCTGGACTTTGAACCCAAACAATCTATTTCATTCTGAATGATGACAATACGTTGTCTTTTTTCTTCCTGATCATGAGCTTTCTCCTTCTAATTTGTCCTTCTTTCAGTCTTTGTAAAAATTATATATTTTTTTAAGATCACAGAACTTTTCAGAGCTTCCTAGTTTCAAATACATTAAATTTAAACAGACTTTAACTTTTAAATCATCTAAAACATGGCCCTTTTATAATTAATTAGCTTTATTTCTCACTGGATAATAACAATTATCATGTTTGAGTAGGGGTCACTTTATATACATGCAAATAAAACATAACAGAC